AGATGAGCCTTGTGAGCTAAAAGAAGGTGATTTTGAGTGCTTTGGAGTATGCATGGTGCACCTTGGAGAATAAGGAACTTCATGTAGAAGTGTTGGTTGAATTGGAGATTATAGATCTTGAATTTGTTCACCTTGATCTATCTTCTAGAGGTATAAAGTTTGAATCTGGATGATGCATTTGTTAGATCTAGCTAGTTTTGGATGTTATGAGCTTTTGGTCATTTTAGTGCATAAAGTTTTGATCTTGAAAGTTTGTGACCTTGTTATGGATAAAGTTGGAAACTTTATCCATCTATACATCATTGTGATTTAGATCTGAAGGTTGGAGACTTGGACTTAATGGATTAAGTTGAAAAAGATGCATTTTTGGTCCCATTTGATGCTTAAAGGCTAGATCTTGGTGGTTTGGACCATTCTAATGGATAAAGTTGGAAACTTTATCCATTATAGAGCTTTTAGGATCCATAAAAATGTAATCTTGATCCTTCTATACCTTCCATGAGAGTATCATGATGTCTTAATGGATTAATAAGTTAAGGTTTTATCTTTTGGACCTTTTCTAGACAAGGAAAGTCATAAAGGTGGAAACTTTATGACTTAGAATGATATTATGGGACTAGATCTGAGTGTTGAATGAAAGGACTTAAGAGATTAAGTACTTAATGGAAAAGTGCCATTTGGCCGGGTAGGCCGGGCGTACCTTCGAGTACGCTGCGCATACTCGTATGGGGTCCCGATTCTGGTTGGTAAGTACGCCATGCGTACGAGCTGAGTACGTCGGGCGTACTCAACGTGGAGTTTGATTTGTTGACTTTGACTTCCGTTGACCGTTGACTTTTGACCAAGTTTGACCTTGGGCCAAACTTTAGGGTTTTGGCCTATTAACTAAGATTTTATCTGGTTCTGGTATTGATATGAGTCTCCTCACTATTTGTATGGGTCGAAGGCACCAATGCTGGCCCATTTGGTTTATGTGTTGTAGGAAGACCCGGGGCTTAGCCTAGGCATTATGTATGAAAGACCAGGAGGCGACTCCTGGCACACTATATGCTATTATGTATGATAGGAAGACCCGGGGGTTAGCCCTAGGTATTATGTATGAAAGACCAGGAGGTGGCTCTTGGCACACTGTATGCTAATTAGCTAAGTAGAGTTGTATGTATGCTAGTTGTCTTTGTGATGCTTGCATGGAAGACCAAGAGGTGGCTCTTGACACTTGTCTGTAAGACCCAGGGGGTGGCCCCCGACTTGGCAAGAAAGACCACATGGCGGCCCGTGGCATAATATCAAGACTATATATCGACACATAACATCTTTATTGATTATGATATATGAATGATATGTACGGATTATGGTTATGTATGACGGTATGTGATTTATGTGCTTATATGATAGACAATATCCGGTTGAAAGAGACCGAAGGGGTAAGACAACACCTAGATATGCTAGGTAGTATGCAGTATGTTGATATGTATGGTATGTGGTATTTGGGGAACTCACTAAGCTTCGTGCTTTCAGTTTTGGTTTCAGGTACCTCCAGTTTTCAAATAAAGGAGCTCGGGACGATCGCAACGCATACACCTATGTTTTCCGCAACATGTGATTTTTAGGAATGAACTCTGATAAATGTTTTATTTGAACTGCTTTTCAATGTGTGAACCAAGTTACAAATCTGTTTGAGTTATATTAAAAATAAAATTTTTGGTCATGAATTTTGGGATGTTACACTTTATATCGTGCTTGCATATATATGAACACCTACAAGTACTCAATAGGAAGCATGAATTGGAGTGCAATGTGGCCCCCAACAGACTACATAGCACCATTTCCACCACTGAAAAGGAAGATGCCATGGAGACCCACTATAAAGGGAAAGAGGGACAATACAGAGGTTAGTGGATCACACAGAGTATCAAAGTCAGGAAAAAGGATTATATGTGGTGTTTGTAAAAAGGCAGGGCACAACAAGTCAACTTGTGATGCAGTGTCAAAGCCCCAAAAAAGCCAGGTAAAAAAGAAGAAAGCCGAAGGTGAAGGTGGAAGTGCATTGAAGAAAGGGAAGGGTCAAGCTCAAGAGGGAAATGGTGTGAAAAAGGGAAATGGTGAAGGTGAAGGTGGAAGTGGAAGTGGTGTCAAAAAGGGAAAAGGTGAATGAGTGTTGTGAATAAGAAGAATGGTCAACAACAACGTACAGTCAAGTTAATGAAAAGGTCAGAGAGGATAATAAAGAAAAAGTTGGCAAAAAGGGTTGAGGGCAAAAACGGTAAAGGAGATACATCATCCAAACCAATGGACTTGGATTAAAAGTGTTTTTTTATGCAGTATGTTTGTTAGGGTTAGATGTCTTTCTTTCATGTTTGTTATGGACTTGTTAAGTTGGTTAGTGTGTCCTTAAAACACCAAGTAATGACATGAATGAATGAATGTTTGTTTGTCGTTGTAAGAAAAATATAACAATGTACTTTAACATAACATGAATGTTTGTTTGTGATTGTAAAACAAATATGGCAAGGTACTTTGACATAGCATGAATATTTGTTTGTGATTGTAAAACATATATGTCAAGTTACTTTGACATAACATGAATATTTGTTTGTGATTGTAAAACATATATGTCAAGGTACTTTGACATAACATGAATGTTTCTTTGTGATTGTAAAAATAAATATGGCAAGGTACTTTGACTGTACAAACAATGGTACAATCCACACGAACAAATCAATCAACAGTTAACAAAACAGTTGGTACTACGACAACATTAGTAAATATTAACTGACATCATATGAAAACATTGGTTAATAGCAACTAGATTTCATTTCCTTCATCGAAGTGACCATACATTACAAATGAGGTTATCATGTTACCAAACCCTCCCAAAAAAGATGGTTCTAAAAACCCTAACATCGTCAAAAGTCACCGTTAATCCAAATAACCAACAAACATCACCTAAAACACCTAATCACCAACAACAAAACATACCCTAATACATACATATTATACTAGCAGATGGAGAAGTTAGACAAAAAAAACAAACAACAACTTTCGACAACCCCAAAAACGCTAAAATCGCCATCGTGCTACCTACCGATATAACTACACCCACCAAAATCCCCACCCAGAGCATTCAACGTAACCACGAACCCCGATCATCGACACCACTGCAACTCCAACAACAACTATCACAGTCACGATCTTTTTCAAGTACACAATTCCTCCCTAAACTCGCCTAGCTACTATCACATGTCATCTCTCATTTCCTCAATCTGCACTTGCGTTTCCATGGCGTGAAGTTCGTCAGTTGGTATGCCATACTCTGAAACCACCATAAAAGAAGCTTTGTTCTGAGGCCATCTTCTTGATTTATAGCAGCCAAAAGCAGAAAAGATCGAAATTGGTTGTATTAAGCAAATGATACGATTAGGGTAACAAAGTGGGTGGGGAACACTCATTTAGGGTACCCTTCAATTTATAAGAGGGACCATCAGGGATGACTTGGCAAACTTGGAGACCAAGATTAGAACAACACTAGTCGATTCACGTTCCACTAGCCACGTCCTCAAAATATCATTTAAACCTTTTACAATCGGTAAAAGGACGCTATTAAACGTTCATATGAAAGCTAGTTTCCTTAATATGCAAAAAAAAAAATTTATTTACATTTTAAACAAACACAACATGAGCTAATCGCAACTAAAATTAACTTAATACGATCCAATTTGCAATGCAAAAGAGGTAGGAGGATAATCACAAGGGATAAAGTCAAAAACCTCTTGGAAATGTCGTCTCTAAACCGTGTCTGACAAAATCAACCCTGTTGCAGTCGTAAATCAGAACCTTCCATTCTCGTCAAACCAAAACCAGATCTGTTTCTTCTCTAGACTTTCCTCCCTAAACGCACCTTTAGATTTCCTATCCCAATCTCCCCCAGTTTTGCAGAAAGATCGATGGGTTTATCATTAAGCAGCAACAGAAGAAGAAACAACCATTATCACCATCAACACCCACCTTCCGCCGACCCTTATTCTGCACCACAATATATTTACTCTGCTCCACAACCGCCACTACCACCGCCACCGCCGCCACCACCGGCACTCCCACTGCCCACGCCCCCAGTGTTCCACCCCTACGATGCCAGTAGTTACCCTAATAACGCAATGAATGTTAGGCCCAATTTTTGGTCTTATAATCAACAGCAAGCAAATTACAATTATGGGTGGGCGCCACAAATGCGTCTACCTTCGATGATGCCGGCTCCACCACCTCAGCCTCCGCCAGCGTATGTCGAGCATCAGCAGGCAAAGAAAGTTAAGAGTCATGTTAACGTGCATAAGGATACATTGAAGGTTGAAATCGATGAGGAGAATCCTGATTGTCATTTAGTTTCCTTCGTGTTTGATGCGATGTTTGATGGGAGGTTAGTAATCTGTGTAAATTTGTTACTACTTTACTGTGTATTCTAGATATAGCTTATGTATGCAAATGATCATGCATTATCTTTTACATTTGATGAACAATTGTGTTAGAAACTTTGATGCAACCAATAACAGGATCGTTAATCGTATCACTGTTAGGCCTAATTTGGCTTGTCAGGGTAGAATTGTGCAATTGAGGAATGTATTGGGCATGCTTATTATCATTCTCTAATAGAGTGGAATGAGTAATTATCGTTAGTTGAATTGGCCTATATATTGAACATAGACTGTTCACTTGTTCATAAGTTGGTTTATTGCTAGTTTGTTCCATTTACTGTTTTTATTCAGTCCCTAATAGCACTTCACTAGAATACAGATAACTATAGCCATAACACATGCCCAATAATCTTGAACATAATCATGTTATCTACTTGTGTTTGTGTGAAAATAATCAAGATATTCATACCCAATGTATAGTAAATTATAAATACACACAAATCCTGAAAGAAAAAGAAACCAAATGGAAAATATTGTGTTGTGTTTAAAGATGTTATAGAATCTTGCAAATCCTGCTAGGTTTTTATAGGATAGTTCAAAAACTAATACTTAGATGACAAACGGGAAGAAAGCATTACAAAATAAGTGTTTTGGTCAAGTTATTGGCTAGAGCTATGAAATATGATACCATTTATAAGTAAGACTTAAATAATGGAAACTTAGACAACTAATATTAAGATATCATTTATCCCTAATTATATATATACAGATATACTATATCTATCAAATAACACTAGGTATAATCCACTATGCAACAATATGATTTGCTTAGATTGAGTCATCATTGTTTTGTTTTGTAATTCTTTTCAAATGGATAAAGATATTCATACTTTAGTATCTTGAAGTTAATCCACACTTAAGTGAACTCATGAAATTATGGACTCAGATTTTAAGGTCTTTCTGATTGAAGCTGCTCATGGTTATAGAAATGTATTTTTTTTTACTGTTCTTTGTGATCTTTGAGAGTTAATCTGTTAGTTTTGCTATTATATATTGCCAAATTCAACAAATATCTTCATACTTTCATGGATTTTTGGCTTCAACAAGATTAATGTCAAATTTACAAAAACACACATTTTTTTGTCTCACTCAAAAAGGTGGCATGGGGACTCACTCTTGATCTCTCATCATGCAAAAGACGTGAACGCCCTCATCCTCATCATGGAAAAAGTACATCATGTGTATTGATTTTCATTTTGCATCCCATTTACAAAACACACCACATTTACCCTTCTCAAGAGAAGGAATAAGTATGCATTCTGATTTCATAAATTTCTATGCAAAAATCTAATATTTCATGAAAAAGTAGATGTCAAAGGCGAAGAGGGTAAAAATGACTAAAATACCCTCATGTAAAATCTAAGTGACACAGGTTAACAGCCCTTGATTAGCAACATCCATTTTAGGGACCATAAAGTTGCATTCTTTTCTTGGATAATCTGTGTAATTAACTCTTTATGAACTTGTAAATAAACTAATTATGTTTTTCCTTTTTTGTCCTTGATGTCTAACAGCATGACAATCTATTACTTTGCAAAAGAAGAGTCTGAATGCAAGTTTTCCCCATTATACCCCGAAGCATTTCTTCCTGTAAAAGTCCCATTCTCAAAGGGCCCTGGACAAAAATTCAGACAACCACCAGGGACTGGAATTGACTTGGGATTCTTTGAGTTGGATTCCCTTTCAAAACCATCATCCGGGGAATCCATATTTCCACTTGTAATATGTGCAGAGACGATTTTACCCTTGTTATCTCCCAATCAACATCTTTATGATCCCTTACCAACTACTACTACCCCTACCCCTCACATGCAAATCACACAAGCTGTTTTGGAAAAGAACAATGGGGATGGTTTTAAAGTTAAAGTGATAAGACAGATTTTGTGGATTGATGGAATTCGTTATGAGTTGCGTGAAATCTACGGAATTGGAATTGGACATTCCGATGAGAGTTTTGATAATACGGGGTCTGGAGAAGAATGTGTTATATGTATGACAGAACCTAAGGACACTGCTGTTCTTCCATGTAGGCATATGGTAAGTTTTGATAACTTTTGTTTTTGTTATAACATTCTACTTTAAAAAATATACTCAGTTATAGGCTTATAGCAACTATAGTGTTTTAATAAACAACAATTTATGAGTTTAAGGTTATGATTGGTGGATTTTTTAAAGTGGAGTGCCTTAAAAAGAAGAAACTGAAAGTACAATGTTGATAGGAAAAAAGTGAAAGTAGGATGACATATGACATTGCTATAATTAGGTAGATTTTTGAATGTAAAATGGTATAATAAGAAAAAGTGAAAGTAGGATGCTATAAATATAATTAAAAAATCAATGAAAGTACATTTCTATTTCTTGTATTACAACTATAAGATCTGCATTTCTAAAAGGAGGTTTGCTAGGAATTTAAGGTCAAACGGATTATTTTAGAGTTAAAATTAAGGGTTTTATGCAGATAAGTCCTATTATTTTGGGAAATTTTTTGATATAGTCCTAAAAAAAAATTGAACAAAAAGTCCCGATTATTTAACATTTTGCCGAAATTAATGAAAAAGTCCTTTTTTCTATATTTTAACATGAAATGAAAGATCATGTGATTTTCACAAAATAATAGGACTTTTCTTTTAAAATTTTTTTTAGGACTTTATCAAAAAAATTCCCAATATAATGGGACTTTTCTGCA